GGAAATTGAAGATGGCTTTAACCCTTTATCATCTTGGCCCAGCATTTAACCCCATTTAACCTCACCTGATAATGTACGCCTTATGCAAGTGGTGATTGAGGTCACATTTGGCGGAAATGCTATAATGAGGGGTTGTGGGTGGGATTAAAATAGTATGGCGATGGATGCAATGCAAGTAATCCAACCGTAGCATATATGTATCTATGTATATAATGTTATCTTGTTAGTATGTTATTTTGTTTAGACTAATCAATAGGTAAACAGTTTTCTCACTTCCATTTTATCCATTTATACCTCTCTAATTCCCAAGGGACAAAACGAAAGTGAGAAAATCACTAGTCAATTGTTAAATCTAACTCACATATCGAAACAAGAATTCACCTACTTATCGTGGAACACATATCAGAAATATTATCGTTTTTTGGGGAGGGGGATATTTTGGAACACAAACGTGTCTCTAAAATTTCAATCAAAATTTCCAAGGTTTTCTTACAATTTTCATAGTTTTTATTCAATTTTTATCAATATCGATAATTTCCCAACATTTCTGTGTTTTTGGACCCATGATATTTCCAAAACCCTAGATATTTTAGATCTTGGATATCACACACCTGTCGGCAGTGACATGATTTCCATTGTGTTCTCTATGAGACGATAAAAATGTCGATACAGTTTCAATTCAAGTGCAGAGCAGGCCATCAATTCAATTCAATTCAATCGCCCTCTGGTCCTAAAACCATTCACTAAAAGCAAGATATTCCTATAGACTACGCGTGGGAAAGGACCAAGTGTTCTTTGATCATTTTGTGGAGAGATTCAGAGAGTACATAAAAAAAGACCCTTCCCTTAATTTAATTCAAAAATTCATCCATGCGCAATATAAGGGCTTCCAAAGTTGTTTTTATATATAAATAAATCAGAACTTGGAAGGCGATAACCTATCCAGCAAGATGTCTACTGTGCAAAGATCCACTGGCAACTAATAAACAACTGTGAGACTGTGACACTTTGATTTCATCATATTTACCAGACCCCACCACCACATACTTTAAATAAATAAACTATTTAACAAATTAAAACCTCTTTTTAAGTCTTTAATCTGCAAAGAGAGAAAGACTCCTTCCTTTGCCAACCAAATAAACACAACCCATTTGCTAACAAAACATATAAAACATATTTATGCATTTACCTTGATTTCAAGAGCAGATTGAGCCGACGCTAGCATCCAATAGTTCATCTATCAAGCAATATACAAGTTGCTCTCATCCAAAGGCACCCAATATAAGCCAATGCTGCGTTGCACAAGCGCGCGCGCACACACACACACACACAAGGAAGACACGTGGATGCCTCCTCCCCCAGCAAAGTCTCACAGCACACTAAGAAATTATTAAAGATGATGAGGGCTCTCTGCTTTGCTCAAAGTATTAAAGGGAGAGTGACACTAAACAAACAATAAGCCCTGCATTACTTGGCCAACCTAATAGCTCCCCCATTGGTGAAGGAGAGCCATTATAATGGCCTATGAGGAAGTGTTAAAAAATTAATCTAGGAAAAAGACCACCAATTGGTAGTCTGGCCAACAGGGATCCATCAAAGAGGACCTCTTCTTTCAAAAGAGAAAAAATAAAAACACAGAAAGTAGGCAGTCTTTGCGGCAAAATAAATATTATATATATATTCCATGTTCCAGTTTCTTCTAAGGCTATTCTAGCACAACTTGCAGACCACCCTTCACCCTTCACCCTTGAAGGAGGATCTCTTACACTTAGAATAAAACCCAAAAAGGCAACCAAAGTGGAATGCTTTGTTAACTATTGATGCTTTAACAATATCCTAAATATTTCCTAAACTCCACCTACACAGCCTTAATTAGTTATATTATGGTGTAGAGAGCATCTTTTTTTTCTTTCCACTAATGGCAAGGTGTCCAACAAGAATATGCCATCTTTCCATACCAATAATAGAAAATGGGGGAGGGCCTACGGATGAATTAAACAACCTTGACAAGGGAAAGGAGAGGAGGTTGTTCAATAATTAAACATGATGAGGCATTCTAAGATTCTCTACGTATTATTCCTGTTGGCAACTTGGCACCGCCCTATCAATTCCTGAACAGAGAGCTCTCTTTCAACAAAAACTTTTTATCAATCAATCTACCAGGCTTGCCGACAGGGTTCGTCTTTGGCTAAACAGCAAACTATAGCTTGGTTAATATGCTTGGTTCAGATGTTAGTTCATCTCCATCAGTAATGACTTATGCTGAGACAACTTCAAGGCAACAAAATACATTCCAAAGAAGGGGAACAAACCAGAAAAAAGGAAAAATGAATGCTTGGATCACTTGCTATGACAAGAAAATAAAGCTCACTCACCAAGTCTAAAGAGTGGTGTTAGGTTTACAAAGAGTTTTATAACGAGTCTAACAAAAACTTAACATTTTCCAAGTCTAAAACATTGCAGGAGAAATGCAAACTTATGAGTACAAACACCATCAAAGTTTCAATAAAGAAAAATCTCAAACTAAGAAAAATCATTACATTGATGATTGTGATTAATTTGAGCGTCAATGCTGATGCATGAAAATCTGATCATTACTAAAACAGGAAAAATCTGATATTTACTAAAAGACGAAATAATCTGCGTTGCCTAAAAAATTGTTCTAGCACTGACCAGACCAAGAGCCAAAAGAAAGAAAGGGAGCACCCCACCAGAATAAAGTAGGCCTCAACAGTTTAGCCACTGCTTTATTTCTTTCCAAGGATTGTGCATTACTACTTTTCAAGACACGGTCTCCTGTACTAGATATGCTATGAAAAATCTTAGGCCAAGTAGGAGATATTAGCTCTGTCCCAATGTAGTCAACTTAACATATTCACAGATCAGAAATTGATATTCTACCAACAATTTAGCTTCCAGGGGTTGGTCTTCTAAATAATGAAGGAGGTTGAGAAATAAATGGTAAGAAAACAACAAGGACCTTATACTACATCATATTTCCATGGAAGTGTGACATCTATAGGCAAAATGGTCAAAGGGAACATGCTGGTATGTCCATGTGCCGGAGTAAAACATGACACACATACCCTCTTGAAGGAGGGTCAGACTAAATAATGGCCTTCAGATAACATCTTTGACCAATACTCTACTTATTTTTAACAACTCAACATACAAATTAAAAATTCACCACTTGTGAGTGGAGACTTGTGTTTGCGTGCTCCCAATCATGGAGAAATACCTGGCTTGGTGTGATGGTCACACTACTGTACATAGTAGTGTTACTAATCCACAATATGGTGGATGACAATGTTGATATTTTATGAACCTAGAGTATAGCATCACACGGCTGTGTGATCCTCGCACCAAAAAATTACTCACAAACACAAACATGGATGAGAACATGTTCATCTGTGCAGTCCTAAGTACCTTCTAAAAGAATAATAAGAGATCTTTTCTACATGTTTATTTTCTTATCGGAAAAATTTTCTGATAGACATTTCAGAAATCATACACACAAATGAACATTTCAGTTTGAATGGTTACTATGAATATGGAAAAGTCTATTACAGTTTTATCTGACATAAATTCAAGAAGACAGCTCTCTTGGTCTAGTAGTACGTATGTTCTAAATGTTGGAAGAGGTAGCAAGTTTGAAACCCTCCCACCTCCATTAATCAGAAAAAAAAAAAAAAAAAAAAAAAAAAAAAAAAAAAAAAAGAAGGAAGAATAATGAACCCCATTAATTTCCAATTTCAACTACAGTCGTATACTTGGAATCCACTTAGATCTAGCATGAGTAAGATACGCTCATCATAAGAATGCTTTAGGTACTTAATAAAGCTGTTATTATAATTATTAGTTTCAGGCTAATAATTGATCAATTAGTGGAAATCCAAAATGTCATAACATTATGTTAGCTCCAGAAAATTCAATTACAGTTGTTTATATTATAAATGCTCAGATCATTATGAAATGAATTTCTCTATGAGAGAGGCTACTCTGCATTCCCCATGTTTCCCTCCACTTTTCTGCATGCGTGAACCTAAAAACAGGATTTGAAGCACCAAACAATAACTTGACCAATATAGATCTCTTCTTCCCTTATTAACTCTGGAGTGAAACATTAACACAAGATAAACCAAAGAGATCTTCCTGAAAAATGGCCGGAATCCAACTAATCTAAAGACAAAATAGCCACGTTTGTTAAAAGTTTGAACAACCAACTTTTAGCAATCTCGGACTAAAATAACCCTGATTACCAAAGAGTCTAAGAATCCCACCATCTCTTAAAGGACCAAACCACAACCCAACTTATCTCCTCGTTCATCTCTGGTCTTCAAAAAAGAAGGGGGAATAAAAAAAAAGACATCATTCACAAACTGCTTCAGAGCTTTTTGCTGGACAGATCGCCAGAGAGAGTAGAGACCAGAGGAAACTCCAACAACACCGTTCACTTTGGTGATGTTTCCACTAGTTCTGTCACCGCTACAGTAATGACAAAAACATAGAGAGATGGAGGGAGGAGAAGGCAGCTGATAGAGGAAAATTCATTATAGTTGAAAGACCCCTTTTTTTCATAGAACCTCAACTCAAATTTTTAGACACAGATTGTGAGTTGAGGACTTTGGGCGCACATTCCAAAGATTGAGGAATACTTTTCTTCTTTTGTCTTTCGCGTGTAGGTTATGAGATTAAGGGTATTCAGGTATCTTTCAGTGAAGTTGGCCACAATTAAATCCTTTCAGAAAGTTGGCTACAATTATATCTTTTTAGAAAGCTGGCTAGTTTCCATTATGCCACTTAGAAAGTGGTTTAAAATATGATAATACAAGAAAACATTCTAGACCGAACCCCCAGACATATTATACCACCAAAAAATGATAAATTCTGGGAAAACCTCTAAAGAGTACTGAAGAGCAAGGCAATAAGTAGCTCGATGGGAACATACGCAAACCAACCAACACAGATCACTATCCATTATTTTGTAAGAGAACAAGCAATTAACTCATATAAAAATGATATTCCTAATTAGAATAGCAACACAGAAAAATTTATGGTCAAAATCAACATGTAGTTAGCATACCACATGATTTACTTGAATTACTACAACTCAACCAGATGAGTATCTTAAAGAAAATATTAACCTTCAACCAAATGCACTGGAAGGGTTACTTCAGTCATAAGATATATAAAGCTTATCTTGGGGGTGGTGGTGGTGGCATGTTGGATTTCGCCATTCCAACCCATGCAACAATGCCAACTGCAAGGATAACCCATCCAAATATGTCATACTTCAGATCACTGCTCTTCTTGGTCTTGGTCTGGAATAAAACAAACAATTTAATTAGAAATTCCTCCTACGAATACAAAATGAAGCTTTCTATCATCTAAACAATGAAAAGCTTAAACTATCCTAAAGAAACATATACTTATGTACCCATATTTGCACATAAACAGGACTTCAAATTAGTTCAAAATATGGAAAAGATTCTACAAGTAATCGAAGGTCAGTACAAAAACTAGTATTCATTGTAATCTAGTGCACTTGTGCATTTATCTATATATTCCCTTTGTGGGGGTGGGGGTGGGGGTCGGGGTACTTCACACTTTGGACAACCTCTTACTTTAGATCCTAACCGCCACATCTTACTCAAATTAGAAAGCTATATTCCATGATCCACAATTCTTATCCTTCTTTTATTGTAGCTGTAACCAAACAACACCAATGAATTAACCAAAAAATAAAAATTCCAACTACAGTTTTGGATATGTATGACTTCTCAACCAATCGTGACAAGGCAAATCAAGTTGTAATTTGATACTACAAAAGAGTAATTTACTTATCAAATCAAACTTATAAAATGGGGCAGCAGTGTCAGCCCATAGGCATTATTGCATCAGCATCGTTAGGTCCTTATGATTTACAAAATTATCAGATAACTATTACTTCAATCATTAATTTGTGCTAAGGATGTAGACTTCAAAAACTCCATATCATATACAATCAGGTACATGTTTTAACCTTTAAATAGAATTGGAAAGGTAACTGAGCATGCGGGTCCCTACTTAATTATATAACCAAATAATATGTTGAATGGATAACATAAGAGAAAGTTGTTAAACATCTCAATCCAATACAATGTAATTTAATGTCGATAAGAATTACAAACAGCCAGCTGACAACCAATACAGGAACATTTGTGGCCAAGGAAACAACAAAGAAACACACTGGAACAGGATGCACTTAGAATAAAGTAATAATTTGAGAGTCTAACCTTTGTACTGGATGATGGAGCAGCAGGTCCCCCACCCAGAATTTGCTGACCCATCCCTTGCTTATGGATCTCCATATGTAATTCAGGTGCCTAGGAAGACATGAACAACAATTACCTATGTTGCACTTGTAAAGTAGAATCAAACTAATATAATTACATAGGTATTAAACCAACTCCAAAGTAAGCAAATTTTTCGATCCTAAGCTGGACAGTAGGAAGGCCTAGCCTTTACAGAACAAGATTGCTTCTTATTACAAACAACAGCCACATGCCATGGTCCTATAAATGATAATGCCCTTCAACACTCGCCCTCTTACCTTCACCACAGTTAGTCAGGACTTCAATCCTTCCCGACCTATTATCCAGCTCATATGGGATGAGGTAACTTGGGTCCACAGACCCAGGGCTGTTTGTGCTTTGTTTGGTTCTTTAAGCCTTTGTCCCCATGGTACCAAAAATCATGTTATAAAAGAAAACCTCTTGAGCCCACCAATACCTATACCCAACTATATAATAATGTATGGCTGCAATTTAGGATCTGTACCCTTCGATCTGAAGGTTGCCATAGCCCAGGCAATACCAGTTCTGAATTTGCTTCACCTTTTAACTTTATTACTTATGAACTTCCTCATCCCATTGTATTACATCCTAGGCCTCTGAACTAAAGTTAATTCGAACATTCCAATCAACCACATTAAAAAAACTCAGTTCTAGTCAATAGCTAAGATTGGCAAGAGAACTCCTGGGTCGAATCTACAAAAAATTTCATAATACAATAACATATCACTAACAGAATAGCTTTCCAAGGGAAATAACAGTAAAAATACCTTAGATGTGACTTCTAAGGACTTCTGATAAAGCTCGTTACCAGGATCCTGCAAAATCAAACCCACTGTTAATCCTCTCTTCAATTCTAGGATATTCAAATACAACAAATATTGAGAATTCAGATAGGCAAAAAATAACCTCATCCGCAGCCTTTTGGAAAAATTCAGACGCCTTATCAAAATAAGGCCTTGCCTCGTCGAGGTCAGGGGTCAGAAATGCGAAAGAGGTGTGGGCATTTCCTAGGCACCATAGTGCATCATGCTTCGCGGGGTTTATTTGCAAAGCCTCCTCCAACTTCGAAATCGAATCTAAACAAATTTCGTGTTCAATTGCATTCTTATTACAGAAATTAAATTCCAATTAAAAATTAAAATAAAACACTAACACAGCTTCTAATTAGGGTTTAAAGAAGCAACAAAAAAATTGATCAAAATTACCATTAATCATGCCCTTCGAATCTGCAAGGCTTTGAAACTGCGATAGTTCGAGCAACGCTCCTCCCCATTTAGTTAAATTCTGCACCAAAATAACAACCGGGTGAGTTTACCATTAAGCAGATGTAAATTGAAAATCACTGAAAAACGAAAGCAGATAAGAACAGGGAAAGAGAGAGAGAGAGAGAGAGAGAGGCACGAACATCGGCATCGAGAGGGTTCTTGGCGTAGTTAACTTCGGCAGTTTTGCGAGTGTGCTCGAAGAGCAAAAGGCGATCGAAGTCGTCCTGAGAGAATTGCATGGCTTTGGATTCAGGTGAGTGACGGCGATTTTGGGGCCAAAGGGGTTTGTGGCTCACTGTCTGGAACTTATTAGGGTTTGCAGTTTTTGTTTTTGGTTTTTGTTTTTTTGTAGGGGCAGGCAGACAAGTAGAAAACTTCACCTTGCGCGACACACCACGGCAATGCCTATAACCGCCTTCTTAGGATTTTCGCGGTTCACACGTGTGCAATCTGTCACTCGCCCGCGCGGTCCCGGGTCCAATTTTCTTCCTTGTTTAGAAACTTTCGGAGATTTATGAACAAAAATTCTTTTGTTTTTTTTTTCTTATAAGGATTATTTTTTTATTTTCAGGATTTGAACAAAAATATCATTAAACTTATGGTGTGTTTACTAATTAGGAATTGAAATTTTCATTAGGAATTAAATTCTACTTATGGAGGATTCTTGCCTTTATTTTACATTAAGGAATTAAAAAGTCAGTAGGAATTCCTAATTTTGGAGAAATTCAATTCTTGGGTGAGAGTTGATATTCTAATTCCTGGATAACTAACTCATTATGAATTCATTTTTTTATATCCATTATATCCTCACACAATTTTAAAAATTCCAAATTTTACATCTACTTTAACTCTACAACGAGGATATTTTAGTAATTAGTACCACTCCTGCCCCAATTTCATATGGTTTAGTAAATAACTTCAATATGAATCCATAATCTAACTCTCCTCAATCCATATGGTTTAGTAAACAATTTCAATAGGAATTCGGAATCTAATTCTCCTCAATCCAACTTCTCCTTAATTCAATTCCTCATATGGTGTGTTTATTAATCAACAATTGGAATTCGAATAAGGAATTGAATTTTACCTACAGAGGATTCCTGCCTTTATTTCACATCAAGGAAGAAAAAAGTAAGTGTGGCCACACAAAATTAGGAATTGAATTCTTGGGTGAGAGGTGATATTCTAATTCATGGATAACTAACCCATTAGGAAATCATATTTTTTACCCATTATATCCTCACACAATTTTTTAAAATTTCAAATTTGCCATCTACTTTAACCCAACAATGAGGACATTTTAGTAATTAGCACCACTCATACCCCAATTCCATATGGTTTAGTAAACAACTTCAATAGGAATTCGGAGTCTAACTCTTCTAAATTCATATGGTTTAGTAAACAACTTCAATAGGAATCCGGAATCTAATTCTCCTTAATCCAACTTCTCTTCAATTCAATTCCTCATAATCCGATTATGGATTAGTAAACATGTCACAAATTCAATTACAGATTAGTAAACATGCCATTAATATTTATAAAAAAAATTAAATAATTTGCAATAATTTTTTAAGAACTAAAATCAACATGAAAACTAACATTTTATATGATAAAGGGTAAACTTTCCAACTTTTAAAAAACTAACATTTTATATGATAATTATAATGGTCATTAATGTAGGATAGATTAATCAGCAAATCAACATACCATACCAAATTGGTCAATTTGACTTCATTTGATTTATAAAATAGTGCTGTTATTTCCACCCATGTCCTATTTCCTCTCCCATCTTATCTTCCTACTCACTATTATTCCTAAAATACCCTTGAATTATTGACACATTCCCATTCACTTAACACTTTTAACCCTATTGATTGAGTCCGAAAAAATTAAAAAATGAAAATGAAAAGTTTTCGAAAGCCACTCGCCGCACACTCTACCAAATCTAACAAGAACTACATGTACCTTCCACCTCCGGCCAAACCTCCCCTCCTTCCTCCTTCTCCTATCTCTTTCATCATTATTTCAATTGTATTAAACAACATCTTCAAACCCCAATCTAACCTTCTTCTCCTTTCTCTATTTCAATCAACTCACGAATAAACAAACCCACGAGAAATATTACATCAAAAGGTTATCATGAAACTGACACTGAGATTTTGTCAAGCAATGTCATAAGTGCAACAAAGTCTAACATTTAATAGAAGCTGCAATCGTATGAAGATCTATGGCCTACTCAAATTGAGTTGCATCCTACCTAAACATTAATTTAATAGGTCAGTAAATAACAAAACAATTTAATGAAATCATAAAACTCGCTTTGATACCGACTTGCCACGGCCTAACCCACAGATTTACTTAATTTTGGATTAAGACGTGATTCACACCTTAACTATAGAATTTAAAATATAAACTATAACTAAAGTGTAAAGAACATTAAAGTAAATAAATAAATATTTCACAAAGAATATTCAGCAAAAACGACTGTTAGCGACATCCTAGTTTAATTAGGATATTTATTTCCTAGTCTATTAGGACTCTATTTCTTTCCTTTTTGTACAGATATTGTGTAATTATGATTTTATGTTATTTTCTTGTATGACCCTACTAGGGTTACAACCTTGTATTATAAATACCTCCTTTTAGAGAATGAAATATATCTGAAAATATTATACCCATATTGTTTGACTTGAAATCAGAGCCAACTTTTCTGGTGACCTGTGTGTTGTGCCCACCCTTGTTCTAGCCCCATATATATATTTTTTCTACCTGTGCCGTGTGTGCCCTCCTGGGCTTATGTATTCTATTGTCGTGTTTGTGCCTCCACTATGTTCCTTCCTGTCTTTGTGCATCTGCTGTATTTGTGTCTATGTTGTGTTTTGTTGCGTACGTTGTCGTGATCTATTGAGGTTCTGCTGCAATCATGGGTGATAACTTTATTGTTGGTGCTGTTGCTGCTACTTCTGCAAATTTGTGTGTTTCTAACTCTATTTCAGGTACTGGCTCCAATTCTTGGATAATTGACATAGGTGATTCTGATCATATGACTTATGATGCTAAATTTTTTTATGATCACCCCCGAATTGTCACCCCTGCCTCCTGAGGGTTGTATTTCCATCGACCACCCTCGACGGACGAACTGATTATCATATCAGCTCGGGAACTGACCAGAGCACTCATACAAAGAGTAGACGGTCGTGAAGGAGCCACATTGATGACAAGACCTCTCCTGACAGAATAACAGTACGCCACCTCCAGAACCACCGCTTCTGTCACCTCTGATCCCACGTGTAAATATGCAATTCGGCCCCAAACAAGATGTGATTGAGGACATGATACTATGTACACCAGCTCCTCCCTACTAAAACGGTGCGAAGTCATCATGACTAAATCGTGGCAAGCTCCGATTACTCCACCATTATGATGGGATAGGTGCTTAGACATGACGTGGTCGGCTCGGTGCCAAGCCGTATGACGACTTAGAAATATCTTGTAATAAAAACCCTATAAATAGAAGGGATTTGCATAGGCCAATAACACGCCACTTCCTAGGAACGAAAGGCCAGGAGTCCCCTCCCTATCATCATCTTTGTAACTGGGTCACTATCAACTTTCAATCAAGAGAATATTCATATACTTATCCCTTCCTGTTTGTGTTCTTTATTTTAGAAGTCTTAATCTTCCATATCCTCACACCCTGGGGTGGAAAAGGTTCTTAGGTTGACTACTGGGAATTTGAGGTTCAACAAATTCAAGATCGTCACTATCATCCGATGGCGGTAATGCTATTGTGGGTGGTGGCACTGGCGGTAATGCCATTTCTACATTATCGAACGTATCTTCAGAGTCTTGGCTACCTCGTCCTCATCGGAAAGATGCCATCTTTCAATTCGCAACAAACAATTCTAAATTCTCAAGTGTGGGAGAGGGACGAAGAATGAGACGTGAGAGCGGGACATAGGCTTCTTGTTTTTTTGGCAGAGGGTCATAGACTATGTATGAAATTTTGAGAGCCATATCCGCTGGTTTAATAGGGGTAATTCCTAAAAGTTATGCTTGAAATAGGCCCAAAAATTCATTAGTACGCTACTAATGGGGCCAAACTAAATATTGCTAAAATTAACTAGAGGTCTAGTTCACTATGAGAGGGAGGAAGTCCAATTCAAATAACATTCTTTTATTTTAAAGAGAACGTCATGTCGAATTTTAGTTGGACCCATCCACTTAATGTGAAAAAAAAGGAGCGTGGTGCTAAGTTAGAAATTCTAGAGGTTTAAATTTTTTTTTTTTGGATTTATTCAAAGTTTGTTTAATTTTTTTGGAATTGTTAGAAAAATCTTGGGCATTATTTTTAAGTCATTGGATAAAAAAAAGTCACACTGAAAAAAAGGAGGTGAATATGAGTCCATAATAAATTTTGGCAAGTTTTTCGAAGTATTAAGGTTTTATTAGTGAAATTTTGAAGCTTCGGAAAATAAAAATTAAAAATTGGAATGGACACGTAGCACCATCTGGACGGCCCATGTAATGCTAATGAAGCAGATCGACGGACGAGATGCGCTGACTAAAAGGTTCTCATTTTATAAAAGAGATATTTAGTCATATACCCATTTTTAACACTAAAACTATAAATAAACCATACACCATTTAATTTCTATAAACAAACCCAAAAAAAAAACCCAAAAAATAGCAGCTGACCCTATTGAATTTAATTTTGATTATTAAATTACTTTGATACCCTATTGAGTGTTTTGAGTTTTTTTTATGAGGTTTTGGGGTTGGGTTTGTTAAGAAATCAATGATAGTTTTGTAATTTAAAAAAAATTAAAAGCCTTTTTGTTATGTTGTAAATGGGCTTTGGGTGTGTTTCTAAAGTTTATTTCATATAAATTTTTTTATATAAATAATTTAGGCTCTATATTAGGTATAATAATGAATCTTCCTTTATAAAAACCATAATCGCTCATCTCTTTCTTTAAGAGACTCAACTTTTGCCTTTGCCATTTCTTGCATCTCCTTCCTCTCACCCTCTCATTTTTCTCACATTCTTCCTTTTGCTCACACCTATTCACAACACTCTTTTTTGTCGCATCATGTCTCTTCCCAACACAACATTCCTTACCCTCCCCACATATCAAAGTGCTCGCCCCCACTACCATTTTCAAAATTAGATGAAACCAACGACTTGAACCGTTTGTCCTAGGCCTCATCATTTGGCCCGCGGGCTCATGGGCTTACGGGGGCCCGCCCGGCCCATTGAAAAAAAGCCCGGCCCGGTCCGTTATGGGCTTTGAGAGGGCCCGGCCCGCTTGGGCTTGGGCCGGGCTTGGGCTTAGGTGTTTGAAGCCCGGCCCGGCCCATAGGCCCGGCCCGATTAAGCCCATGAAAGCCCGGCCCGGCCCGCCCACAAAAACCCGGCCCGTTAGGCCCGCATACATATATAATTATGTATAAATAAGGGTTTAGAATTAGGATTACATCACTTGAATGACAAATCTCCCTCTTTAATTTTTTTTTGTGTGTTACTTGTTATAAAAATTGTGTTTGTTTCCATTGAATTCTACTCATTCCTAGTTTATAATTGGATGATTAGCACATTAATTTGTGTCATTTATTAATACAACAATTATATATATATATATAATAAGACAAACAACATATCATATCAATTTATAGTTTTTAGTATTTTCTTTTGTTTTATGTAAATCTATTAGAGTATTTTCTTTTGTTTTATGTAAATCTATCAAGGAAATATGCTCAAGACAACGTGAAAATGTGATTACATACAAAAACATGAAAATGCATACATAAATTTAAATTTTCAATTTTGTTGTAGCATAATTTTTTATTTTTTTTTTACACATTATTTTTTAGGCCCATTTCGGCCCGGCCCGTTGGGCTTAGCCCGGCCCGGCCCGATGGGCTTTTTCAAGCCCGACTCATGAGATGGGCTTGGGCTTTGAATTTTCTAAAAAAACCCGGCCCGGCCCGGCCCGATATTTTCTCTCTCCTCTTTAAAGCCCGGCCCGGCCCGGCCCAAGCCCATGAAATTTGGGCCGGGCTAGCCCGGCCCGGCCCATTGACGAGCCCTAGTTTGTCCAATATATAAGTGTGAGTTTGTTCAATTAACACTATCATTTTCATTGAGGTAACTGTTGTTGGGTTGGCAAATTTGGAGTGGAATCAGACTAAGTGACCGTTTGGTATTGCTTATTTAGGGCGATAAGTGATTTTTTAAAAATGTTGTGAAACCCAACCTGTTTGGTAAACTATGAGAAAATCACTTATTGTTTAAAATTGTTGTGGGAGAAAGCTATAAAGGAAAGCAGCTAATAAGGTGCTTTCATTTTATGATTATGCAGGAATCAATTTCGAAGAGGCGCTAGGTTTAATGATTATGCGGCAATTATTTTTTGATTATATGGGAATCCGTACCAACAACACTTTTAACAAAAAGTTTACCAAACGCCAAACTGCTTTCTCTCATAACTGATTTCTCTCACAGCAAATCTGACATTGATTATTTTCACAGCACAGCAATGCCAAACTGGCCCTAAACCAACTAATAATCAGATTTGGGCTTTCACTACTTAGATTTGATGGGCCATTTACTTTTTTTAGCCATTACTATTTCATAAAATAAAATAGAAAAAAAAATTATCTTCTTGGCGGGAATGATATTTCACCTGGCGGGTGTACAAGCGTTGTGCCGAAAGCACCCTCGATTAAAATTCCAAACACCTCTGAACTTGATATGGCAAACAAAGTAATATAACCTCTAATACAAGTGCAATGTCATCCTTCGAAAACATGATAACAGGGAATATTTCCCGCCATTTCAAAACCCTAACACAACATTTTCATTTTTCGATTACTCATTCCTGACCAGAGAGCGTCGCAACCATCAATGGCAGAAGAGCAGAACGCGGCACGAGAAGAAGATAACATAGCACCAGAAGAGAACGCAGAACAAGGAGAAGAGAACGCAGAGCAAGAAGAGGAGAACGCAGAGCAAGAAGAGGAGAACGCAGAGCAAGAAGAAGAGAACGCAGAACAAGGAGAAGAGAAGGCAGAGCAAGAAGAAGAGGACGCAGAGAAAGCAGAAGAGAACGCAGAGCAAGAAGAAGAGAACGCAGAGCAAGAAGAAGACGACGCAGAACAAGAAGAAGACGACGCAGAACAAGAAGAAGACAACGCAGAACAAGAAGAAGATAACCCAGAAAAAGCAGTAGAGAAGGCAGCAGTAAAGGAAAAAGCGAAGGTAGCACAAGAAGAAGAGAACGCAGAACCGATCCGATCCGAAAATTCACAGATCCGAGCCGAATTTCCGAATACTCGGGTGAAGAGGATAATGAAGCTGGACAGGGGCATCAACAAGGTAAATTCAGAAGCCTTACTCCTTGTATCGTGCTCCGCCCAGCTCTTCCTGGAGTTCCTGGCGGAGAGGTCGGCTGAGATTGCGATGGAGAAGAAGCGCAAGATCGTGAAGCTCGAACACATGCGAGTCGCCGTCAAGAGGCATCGCCCGACCAGCGATTTCCTTTTGGATGAGCTTCCCGTGCCCTCTCAGCCGTCCGATCATCAGCCTACTGATCGAAGCGGCTCGCGCACCGTTTCCCATGCTCCAGCTCCGGCTAGAGAAGATCGGAGGCGCTCTAGCGCCGTTTCCGATAAACCAGCTCCAGCTGGCACTCGCCGGATCGATCACTTCTTTCGGGCAAAAGAAATCCCGATTCAGACCGAAAAATCGCTAATTGAGACCGACGAAGCTTCAATTGAGATCGATGAAGCCCCCATTGAGACCGACGAAGGTCCAATTGAGACCGATGAAGCTGCTTCAATTGAGATGGACGAAGCCCCAATTGTGACCGACGAAGGTCCAATTGAGACCGGTGAAGGGTCAATTGAGACCAACAAGTCCTAGATCTTCGTTCGTTCTTTGCCTGTCGTAAAGAATCAAAATCATTTTGTTTGGTCAAGTTGTAATTGTGAGAAACCAATGGAAAATATCTGATGGACACAAGGAGATTATTTCTAATTTTTCTTTATAATCAATTTTCTATTTTTCCTATGGATTTGATATTTATGATTGACCTAAGCGCTGCAGTGAAGCTCCACAGCAATGGGGGAAAATCTCCACCGTTCTGCTCCCAGCCCATGTATGTTTATGTGTTGTTTATTTAATGCAAACTTTCTTTACTTTCTTTCTGGCTTCTGTTCATATCTCAAATGTTGCTCTCTTTCTAGTGCTCTAAATTTTTAATCCCTGCCCTGATTTCTCTTTTCCTTTTCTCTGTATTTTCCGTTTAGATTTGTCTTCTGATGCCATGTTCTTCTAACCCTGTTGAGATAAGACATCGCATGTTTTGGAAGTCTTAATTGAATAGCATAATGAGAAATATATCAGTTATAACATCATTGTTCAATCCATAATTTGGACAAAAGCTAACATGCTTAATATTTTTTTACTTTTGCTAACTGCAGTATTTGGTAGAAATAAGGAAACAACAATCCTAGAACTTATTTATTTGCATTTCCAATTACAATTGTCTAAAAGCTCTAGACGCTTCTGCCGGTACAGGGGTAATTCATAAATGCGTAGGCTCTTTAGCTGAAATGATAGCTGAACTTATTCTTCTGCATTGATCTATTAGCTGAAAGGATTATGAAATCAAAAACTAAAAGTGATAGCATACCATATTAATTAATATGAGTGAGGGAGTCCTGTTTTAATATGAACTTGCCTCTTGGCACGCAGAGCGTGTGCCAATTGGCCTTTTCTTTTCTTCTTCTTATCTTTTGTATTTATATTCTATTTTAAAAAGGACTTTTTACAGTTTTTAGTTTTATTTTATTTATTTTTATTATAGGCTTAATTACTGTTTTACCCCTAGGAACGGACGATTGGTCACAAGGATCACATGAGCAGCAGGAATGAACCTTTTTGGAAGACTGTTGAAGAGATGAGAAAAGTAGAAGGGCATGGTCTTGCATTGCTTACATTTCACTGATATTATATGCACTAAACCTGAAAACTAGATGAGTCATTTGTAGTATCAACTCCTAATGCATTCTGCTCCCATGTATGTTTATGTGTTGTTTAATTTAATGCAGAATTTGTTTACTTTCTTTCTAGCTTGTGTTCATATCCCAAATCAAATGTTGTTTTATAGTGCTCTAAATTTGTAATTACCCCTTGCTTTGGAAGTCTTATCAGTCTGTATATCACTTATAACATTCCTTGCAATATTACAGTGTCCAATCCATGATTTGGACAAAAGCTAACATGCTTAATATCAAACAACAATCCTAGAACTTATTTATTCACCTTTGCAATTACAATTGCCTAAAATTCTAGACACTTCTGCCAGTACAGGGGTAATTCATAAATACATAGGCTCTTTAGCTGATATGATAGCTGAACTTATTCTTCTGCATGATTCATTATGTCTTTCCGCACACACTTTCTGCCCCATGTTTCCCCACAGCACATGAAGGGTGACGAATCGGAGAGCATTCAGGGAGATTGTGGGCCGGAAAATGTTGATACCACTGAAGCTGTTTCATCTTTAAGATGAGAAACAAGGCCAGGTCGAGCAAACATCTTTTGTCCCCGTGCCTTCTTACCTTCCTTTATAAAGGATATGCCTTGAGTGCCTGAGTTTATGCTGTTTGGTCCCAATTGCTGAAGGCCTAGTGAAAGCCTTCTGTTTAGAGGCATGGCATTGCTAAAACCTCCATTCACACTTCTGGTTGAAGTTCGCCTTGCACTGGAGCTTGGCCTGGTAATAAACAAGTTTTCTTGCTCAACTGCTACTTGGCTTTGGACCTTCTTCATTTCCTGGAAGGAAAACTTGCCTCATCATGTTGGTAAGAATACACAGGCCAATGGGCCATTGTGGAATGAGGTGTGATTCTGTTGAGTTTGTTGCAAATATCTGGGATGTCTTACCAGAAACAGACATAAAAATAAAAATGCAACACTTTCATTTCTGATGAACTGTGAACCTTTCATTTCATTGTCAAATAAAACTAACCCTTTGTCTTTGCTTATCCTCCTCCTTTTCCTGCCTTAGCACATTATACTCTTCCAACATTGCTAGGAGAGGTACCTGCATGTGTTATATTAATGTCTTCATCAGATGCTCTACACAAATCAGCAATTAAGAATCAAATAAGAGAAGATTGTTTTACAGTATCACAGAACAATAAGTTATGTACCTCATCATACAAGAAAGTTTTCTTTCTTTCGTCTTCCCAACTCTTAGTATTTGCTATTAGCAAATCCACCAAAGCTGCATTTTTGTGGCATTGTGAGCAAACTTACTTATCTTTATTGGTTGTCATTAAACCATATGATGTGAAAACATTGCACCTGCATTTACATTTTTCTTTTTTCTTTGATTGATGTTTAAGGAGAATACTTCTACTCATCTAGCCAATGATATTCTTTATTAGCATTACATAGTGTTTGTATATAATCTTTGAGTTGTACACCTCTTATGCATGACAATCCTGCTACATGTTGGGTGTGAATGCTTATAGCTAAGAAACAGTTCTTAATTTTACCTGGGATTTTGTTGACTAATACTCGGGCACGTTCTGCGCGCCTCAGGTTCTTGTGTGCACCTCTGCTGACCGAGTACCGATTCTCGTCCTAAAAAAGGTACTTTTGATTAGTAACTGTGAAGTGTATGTGTGTAATTATAAATGTAGGAGCCTAGTACAAATGTAGATCCATGCATGTGAAATACTGACTCTGCTGTATTCTTCCAACCAACGCTCCTCATCACGTGCTAGCATCCACTTTTCCACCTTTTCCATGATAGTCATTCTGCTAGAAGCTTCTTCTTTTGCTCTTGATATCTGTTGATCCATGCTCATGAGAAGATCTGCATGGTCAATCTCCCCTGTCGTACATTTAGGTCAATGTACAGGCTACTTTATCTTTAAACAAGGAAAATCATCTCACTTATTACAAATAAACGCAAATCACTGAACCACACCAGAGTTAATGAGGTTAATTAGATTATCAATCTCTGACTGCAAAGGAATCTCCATGTGTGATTTATTGCATATCTCCTTGAGCTCATTCTGTTTCTTGAAAAATAGTTCTTTCATCTTGCTTGCTTTTAAGTGATCCAATCTCTTGACTTCAGCTTCGGCCTATAAAAAGACTTTGAAAATTGTTATTTCTCTTTTCTGATAAAATGAAGTGCCATTAAAATTTTATACTTACCTGCTGGATTATGTTTAGGGTTAGGCTTCCTGGATCCGATACTTCTGCTGATGAGAGTGATAATAAGCCAGTAACATGGGAAAACGATTGACGATCTTTATAGGGTGTGTCCATGAGATTCCATAAGTTTGTCAATGCTTTGCCAAGATGGTGAAGCTGAAAAAGTATATGTAGAAATATATCATACTGATGCTTTATCTAAAGCAAGTATAACTAAGACATGGTGAGTATATCTGTTTTGCAGAAACCTAGGTGGCAGGCCTTGACAATTAATTTTACTCAAATGAATACTGATACCACCGCATAGCTAATTATCACCTTATCAAGTCGTTTTTGCTTTTCTTCATCCAGAGATTCCACCGTGCTGTTAAGCTTAGCCAAAATACTGTTGCTTATGTTTTTGGTTATCCCACATAAGTCATTTAAGCTTGGATGAACCTTGGTGATGACCATGGAGGAGTCTGTTCCTAATATTGAAGACAATTTGTGGACTGCATCTATATATTGTTCCACCCTCATGAGCCTTTCATTCTGCAAGACCAACAAAATAACTTAAAAAGGGATTTGGATGATCATCATTTAGAAGGACAGACCTTTGATTGATTCTCCACAAAACAATTTCTGAAGTACAGTTATGGTACCTTCTCGTTGCGGAGTCTTTGTAGCTCTGTCTGATACTCCTCTAGTTTCTTCAAGGATAGATCATTCTCATTCACCATGATATCTGATGATAAGTCATCATATTCTGATTCTGATTGGCCTGCTATTTCTGCAGAAATTTTCTGAATTTGCCCTTGCACAGTTCGGAACTGATTCACCCTTTCTTCTTTCCTCAATCTCATTTCCCTCAAAGCCGGCGTGATTGAATCTAGCTGCTCTTTCAGTGTTCCCGCCATTTTTTCTGGCTGATGTTGTTAATATAAGAATCAGTTCATGCGAGTAAGAATTTTTTTTATGTTTATAGTTAAGACCTCGCGTGAAAATTCGAATATATATGCATTTCAAATCTAACTAGAAGACTGCCAAATGATTCTAGAAGTAAATCCTCACTATCAACATATGAATTTGGCTTCTGCTTTAACATGCATGCTATGTTTATGGCCATTCTAATTTACTGAGTTTACAGGGATTGATAAAGAAGCAACCTACCCGTCCAGGGAGAGATCGTTCACCAAGGGACAAAAGAAGATGGGTAAATTCAGCCTCAGCTTCTGCCAACTCCTGGTGCAGGCGAGCTCTGGAAGTATTTGCAGCATCAACCTTCTTCCTATAAACCTCTAGGCATTCCTGTTCTAGGTCCAGCAGTACCTTCTCCCTTTCAAAGTGATCTTGTCCAACTTCATTCCAAATCATCTGTCCATTCACATTGAAGAACAGAAAAACAAAAAAAAACAAAACAAAACAAAAGAAGTTCCAGAATGAGAACGATTCAAAGCCATTAGTTATCTGATAAAACTAGAAGAAAATCTTGCCTGCAGTTCTTGAAGCAGGTATCCACATGAAGTTTCGAGAAGATTGGAGCTTCGCATTCCTATCGGTGTTTGAAATGAACCCATCTGAATATGGTTCCTTCAGAGAAACTCAGGCTGCTGATAAGGTTAGTTCCTTGACATGCAGCAAGCTAAGTTGAGGGGGCAGTGTTGAAAGAGTGGAAAGAGAAAGAGTGGGAAGTTCCTTGTTAAGCACCCAATGACTCAGAGAGGGAGGCAGAGTGTGTATGTGTTCTGGTGGACCTCTGGGTGTGAGTTTTGCTTGAAAGACAAGGGTGGCAAAGGTAGGTAATGCCCAAGCTTTGGGTTCAAGGATCAGCAGTTCTTTTAGAACCTTGAGCTTTTTGTGACTTTCCCTTTCCCTTTCCCTCTACCATTATTTGAATTTAAACATGGAATTCTTTTAGTTAGGGTCTCGTATTCAGAGATTTGTGTACACCTATTTTGCACCACACTGACCAGCCTTTGACTTCGTTCTTAAGCAATATATCATATGGTTCTGCCTTCATTTTTAGAATGTGGATTTCATGCTCTATTTCGGCTTCAAACTTGTATAGTAATTAATAATATTTGATTAACTTCTTCTGGAAAACTTGGATAATCTGATGTGCTAATCTAACTAATCTTTCACTTGTTGGGGTGGGCCCATTAGGGTTTTCATTAGTAAATTATTTAATTATACTAATGTTTGATTAACTCTGAGTTTATGGTTGAGGGTCGGTATACCTAGAGACAAATTAGCAGGTAACATTTTTCTCTCCGTCCGTATGGATGAGAAAATTGAACTTTACTAACCCGCATTAGGTTTGGGATTAAATTCTTAATAGGATCATTACCATCTGACTTAGAGCTTAATTGCAAAATCATCTACAATAAAGGGTTCTACCTTGTTCACGTTTGCGATAGGCATTATAAAGCCTATCTTATCAGAGTCTGCCAAATCTTTGTCTTGCAAAGAGGATAAGATACCAAGAGTGGCTGTGACCCAAACGCCAAAGGTGGCATAAAGTAAGCAACCCAATCTCTCTCTCTCTCTCTCTCTCTCTCCGTCTCTCTCACATTAGGCAAAACTGGAGTTGCCAGCTGTCAGTCAAGAATTTGGGAAATCAAATTGAGGAGTATTTTGTTCTACTCCACATGAAATTTTGAAAATGTCTCTCTCATTAGGCAAAACTGGAGTTGCCAGCTGTCAGTCAAGAATTTGGGAAATCAAATTGAGGAGTATTTTGTTCTACTCCACATGAAATTTTGAAAATGGTAGAAAAATTACAGGAAAAAACCTACAAATTGCAGACATGGGTCACATGGATCTCTTAAAGAAAAACTCAAATAGGTATCTGTCCCAGACAGATCTAAACAATGAATGACAATTTTTTGAAGACGTCATATTCATTTTGATATCCTAAGATGGCTATGCAAGGAGAGAAGGATCATAAAAAATAGGGCAAAATGCAAAGCCCCAAGGGGAAGAAGAAAGAAACCATTGATTTGGTATTCGCAGGTGAAACTCAAATTTAAATGGGATTAACTTTCCATATATACTCTAACTTAGAATGAATTCATATGAAGTTATGAACACCTATAATATAAGCTTTCAATCGTGAATACTATAATGAAATAATCAATGAATTAATTTCCTTTCCTCAACCCTTGAACACAATTCTCATAAGCTCCTCAAAGTGAAAATGATTGTACAATTTTTAGGTCGGTCATTTCATTTATGTGTGTGCTTCTAGCTTTGGTTACCGTCGTCAACAAAGAAGGCTGTAAGATGGCATGTCTTCGATCCGGAAGACATCATCCATTAGAAGTTCCCTCTCCAACTGAGCTCGAGTGGATTTCAAAACATCCTGTAATGTAACACACACACACATACACACTTGAATCAGATTGATTCAAAACCCTTTTGAATTGATCACTCAGCAGCAGAAGATGTCTCAGCCTCAAGCATAAAGCTTGAACCAAAACTACATGATGATAATAAAATTCTTGACATATATAAAGACGAAGGATTCTTCTCACATTGAACTCCATGTATGTAGCATTTCTCTCAAGCCACTGCTTGTCCATAACCATGAAAGCCACGCAATAAAGCAAGTCGAAGGACCACTCATTTTCTGAAATCACATCAAAAAATAACAAGAAAGCCATAAAAAACTTACGGTACAATTAATTTGTATGCTTCAATTCAAAGCAGTAACTTAATTGGATGCGATTTCGGGCTCTTACCTAACAACATTTGTAAGAAAACTGCTCTGATGTAAGTCCTGGGTTTTGCTGCCAAACAAACAAGGATGATGAGCTATCTCTCCAAAGAAGAAAACAACTTTAGAGCTTGCAGATTGGCCTATTCTAGAGGAACAGAAAGACTTTAAGTTGTCATTTGTAAAATGGACAAGATTTGATCTAATATCCTAAGTTTTAACTTACTGGCTTCAAGGTCAAGCATTTGCATGATCATGAATGTGATATTTACACCAGCAACAGCAAACGGATATTCCCAAGCAGCCGGCTTTCCTCCCTGCTTTTGCAATAGGCACTGGAAAGATGTCTGCAACAATCTCCATTTTTTGATTATATGGGAAGAGGAGAAAAGCTACTTCTTAATGTTTGTAACTTTCTATTTAGACATCAAAGTAATGTCTTACCGAAAACGTCTTTGCAAAGAACAACAGGTTCTCCAAAGAAATGAAACCAGCACCTCTGTCAGGTAGAGAATCCGAACTAACCAAGTAAGAGCCAGCACAAATTGACAGAACAAGTTTGACCACAAAATCTGGAACAACAGATGAGTTTTAAAGAAGACAACCTGAAATCAGTAGATGGATCTCTTCCCTGCCATCCCATCTCTTTCCATTGATCCGATATCAAGCCTTGAAGCTCTTGACCAGGATATGTAGCATACCAAAGAGCTCTCAATGCTTCCTGTCCTCATCAAATATTTTTTTTTCTTAACAACAAAGTTTAAGAAAACAAAAAGGCAAACAATTACCAGAGAACCATTTGAACATGTCATTTGAGAACATTTTATTTGTAAATGCTCAAGCATACAAAGATTTCAAATGAAAATTGCACCTGGTGATCTGGACTAGCAGCATCAAAGTAAACCTTCATTCGGCGCTTCAACCGCCGCGTTCTTTCTTCCTGCAAGTTTCCAAATACATCTGTAATATTATAGGGTGAAATGAAATAACATCATGAAAGAGCTAGAGTAACAGAAGGATCTCAAACCAGCAAAAAACAAACTCTACTGAATTACTACCAAGAAAATAATTCTAAGTGGCCTATTGCTACAATTTGAGGTGATACAAATTATGCACAATGGAGACAGCAAAAAGAACATGTAATACTTGCCTGAAGGGGTGTCAAGTTCATGCAGATCCGTTGATAATTTCCCTTTCGCTTGAAGCAAACACAAGTTGCATCAGCTGCATAAAAACAAGCAGCCGAGTTCCTAGCTAGTTTAAACTTTAACTTTGAATCAATTGATTTCACAGTAAATTGATTGATCACCATGTGTACTCGTTCTATCTCTCTTACACCAGAAATTACACAAAGCAAAAGATTGACACAAACAGAGCAGAGCAGGGCAGACAAAATCTTAGCAACCTACCTGGCAGTAGCACACGATCCACAAGAAAGCATTTCATAACAGCAATGCGGTCTTCCACCAGTTTTCCTTGTTCCAGTGAATTCCAGTTTCAATGATTAAGACCAGTTTAATGTCTGGGATTTCGTGAAAACAACTCCTTGATTATTATTATTATAACCAACTATTAAAAACACTAGTTTCTTTTTCAAACTCTCACAGACCCCATCTACCGAAAACTGAGTCAAAGTGACAGTCCAAATAAATGTCCACCTTACTAGTATAATAATATAGTTGTAATATTTGTCTGTACATGCATGCACATCTTTCATCTACTTATTTTCTTCAGGAAGATAGTCTAAACTAGTTCCAGTTATTCTAATCTTTGGAATTAAAAGATCGAACTCGGTGCAAAGAAACGGAAATACTAACTGGCATAACCCACTGCACACATCTTTGATATTCATATTCAGAGAGTGCGTATGTGTAGAAGAGTGTGTGCGGTGTCGTGTGACGGCCGACAAATATACTAACAGGCGCTGAGATGGAACACGAAACCGCATCGGGCCACGTGGGCGACATATGGTGTTCATGTGATCCGACATCAATATGGTCGGAAACCTATAGAAGTGGATAGAGAGCCATAGGCCCAACAAATATAACACAAACAAGAAACACAATTTGTAGTATACTTACTAGTATCAAAGTATTACGCATATTATACCATTTGCAGTATACTTACTAGATGTGGTGTGGTGGTAGCTCACTTCATTCCTTAACCATGTGGTTGGGGGTTCGATCCCCGCCCATGGGAATGGAGCGCATTTCGTGGCCAGCTGTTTACCTCCTTTGGAGAGCTCCCGCGGCGAAAGGGATTAGTCATTACTGTCGGCGGTGGACACCCTTGGATCTCATCCAAAAAAAAAGTATTACGCATATTATACTATTTGCTTTGGTTCTGTGTACCTGCTACTTCCACGTATTTTACTTCGTGCCAATGGACCACAAGAGATGGGCCCTACACAATGTGGACCCACCTGAGTTGGATGGCCAATGATTTCTTCCATGACTAATGAAATTACTTGTCTAATGGGAAACATTGTGGGCAATTTTTTCACACTGAATTAGTTTCTTTTGGTGTGTAGTGTTGAGTTAGATTGGTTAACTTTTTATATTTAAAGCATGTTAAAGGAAGAAATATGAATTTTTTTTATCCAAGTTGCAAGTAGAAGACGAATTATTCATGAAAAAAACTTACTCACCTAATCCTCGCAAAATAGTAGGATAACAACATCTTATAACTCATTTCTCCTAATCCCCCCAAAATGGAGATCATTTACCTATACTTTCATTTTCTCTTTCAATATACTTTAAATTTGGTTACTTGTCCAATCCAATTCTATGCACAGAACGAGAAGAGCACTGCCCATATGTTGGCTATAAAAGGCAGACATGACAAATGCTAAGATGAACTTTGATTTGATGTCTTTGGAAGGTAGCAAGCATTGAACCCACTTTTTCTTTTATGTTTTTCTTTTGGGTATAAAAAGGCAACCCAAAGGACATTGGTCCAAATTAATTAGCTATTACCTACTTTGGATTCAAATAGGTTCATCGGGCTCATGTCAAATAGGCCTAATCTCTACTAAACGAGATATTGAGTAATTCTCACCTAACTCGTCTCTTTGGACACCCATCATTTTATTATTTTTCTTAATTGGTTTGAAGTTTAGAAACTTAGAATGTGTACGAGAATGCAGGCTCATGTTCAACAAGTACATTCTTATGCATTCTCATGATTAACAAGTGCATTATTAGTCTGACGCTTAGACATGAACTTTCTATGTAGAGGTTAATCATACTTTGGCTCTTTAAACAATTTCCAAATATTAGACATAGGAGTTTCATTTCCGAGAAATTCATTTTGGATACCAAACGAGCCATGAGGAGGAAACATACTATGAACACTTAGCTCATCAAATCCCAAAAGGCAAGGCAACCACATAGATCTCCTCCACACCAACACATCATAAATAAGCAAAACCTAGTTTTGAAGATAAGATGATGTTCACCATTTTAATTACCACAGATGGGTAAATCAAACTGTTTATTTATTAGATAAACAACAACAACAACAACAACAACAACAACATGATTCGAGTTTGTTTCATGGTAGTTAACACTATTATCCTAATAGAGACGCCTGCAGAGGGTGAGTCCATCTCCGATGGAAACAAGAGCTAACTCGATGCGATCGTCGGCGGCAAGAAAGCTGTTGATTGGCAGCAAATGCTTTCTGTCTTCCCTTGCAAATTCATCCACATTCTCCTCAGCTTCTGCCACTGTCCCAAACCACAATGTGTTGTCATAAGCTATTATTCCTCCAACCTTCACAAGCTTTAGCAGCAGCTCGTGATATTTGATGTATGCGTCCTTGTTCGCGTCCACAAATGCAAAATCAAAGCTCCCTTCTTCCTTCCCCTGCTTTAATTAATTATTTACATATGTTTAAAATTAAAATCTCCAATGCAAATAAATAAACAAGTTAAACCATAGACAATTGTTATTCACGCTCTCAGTTTGTCATCCGTCGCTCAGTAGATAAGACGGCAATTTGGAAGTACGAATAACATTTCCTTTTTCGAAATTAGGTATGTTGGGTAATTGATTTTTGTGAAATCACAGATTTTTAACTTACATTGGCAATGAGATCATTTAGGGCAGTGAGGGCATCCGAGTGACAGAAATTAATCTTATGGTCCACCCCAGCCTTCTGAAAGTATGGCAATCCAAACTCATAGGCTTCTTTATCTGGATCGATTGCCGTTATCTGAAAAGAATTAATGAAACTCATAATTTTGTGCTGTCCTTAATTACCACATAATCTAAGTAATTAATATTATTTTAATGAAATTAAAAAATTATACTTTGCCGTCATGAGGTAGTGCAAGAGCAGTGGTAAGAAGAGAGTAACCAGTAAATACACCAAGTTCCAGTGTCTTGTTTGCATTCATGAGCTTTAGAAGCATCGAGAGAAGCAGGCCTTCATCTACAGGCACATTCATGACACTCCTATACGAGTTCAAAATTTAATTATTCATCAGGGTCAGTCAAGTAACTTCATATATTTCAAATTAATTTTATTTTAATTACTATTACATCCTTAATCAATAGTACTACTTTCTTCTAAGTTAAATACAAATGTTAATTAAACCTACCAAAATTGGTATTTCTCGATAGTGGCTTCCCTGAGTTGCTTCAATTGCTCGTGTTCTCTTGGGAAGCAGCTTGTTTCGAAGATATACTGTAATACATACAAGAAAAATTAAGACTATTAATTTACTAATTTTGTTAGGGTCGGATATATCAACATAAAATATAATTAGAATATCTGCAATAGAGTCTCACTTGTATCGGTTGCATACACGGTTTTTCCCTATGTAACCATCACGTGTTACATGACAAGTAACGAGAGATGAAACAAAAAAGGAAGAACGGGTGTATATAACCGGGGTTGCAAATTTTGTCTCCTATTTTCAACTTGGTGATCAACAACTAAAGAAAGGAAATACTGACTTGCTGAAATTAATAAAATCTTCAAAGCCCTAATTAATATAATATAGAGGGAAATCCCACAAGCTTCTGTCCTTTTGGATTGAAAGCATATCGGCAGTGGCAGATTTAGAAATTTTTTAGGGAAGGGGCGATAAAAAAAAGATTAAAAGCTCAAAAATAATAAAATAATTAGACAACCAAATACCTTTAGAATCTAATGAAGATTAACCTAAAAAAAATCAATTTCAATCGGTCTAATTGAAATGCATATCAAATTATCAATTAAACAAATAAATCATAATTGATCGTAGATTCATTTGCTATTGTATTGATCATACAAAATACAGAGAGAGCAAAATCAGTAATAATAATAACAATTATTATTATTGTAATAATAAACATATTATAAATAAATAAAAAACAAAAAAATTTAAAAATTAAATAAAAAAAAAGAAGAAACACTGACACTAGGGTTATATTGAATTAAATCAAAAGGCAGAGTTTTGGTAAAATAGGGATTTTTCAAACCAAACGGTGGTGTCTTTATTGTATGAAACCAGACTACACGAAACACATCGTTTCATTAAGAAAAACCCACACATCTCAATCCAACGTCGTTCACTTAAAACCTAGAGGAAAACAAAAGTTGAGTCAGGGTTGGGTCTTCTTCTTCGCGAGGAATAAGCCATTGACGGCGCCTCATAGAGCTTACATCCCATGGCAACCATAGCTGTTTTGGGCATTAGCAGAGGGGCGTTATCAAGCACCTCCAAAGCTTTTTCCGGCGAAGGGAGGTGCAGCGGCACCTCCTTGCGCCTCTGTAGATCTGCCAGTACAGGTGCATCATGCACGATATATGACACTTGTACATCATCCATGCATGATATATGACACTCGTGCATCATGCATCCATCTCATATATACTAAAAAAGTTAATAAAAAAAATATTAATTATTGATAAAAACAAGTATCTGCCTTCTTGTAAAAGATTGGAAAATCCAACCCAAAGATGAATTTATATAAAATTAAATAAATTTTTTTAAAACCAGGGAAATAAGAAAAAAATTCAGGATCATTCCTAGCTAGAATTTTTTTTAAGTTAACACTAAGCCCAAAGGGGCCTCCAGGATCGATGCTTCATTACAAGAAACAGCTGAGAGAGAGAGAGAGTTGAGTTTATGGCATTGACGAAGGGAAGAAATGAAGGAAAATGAGTACCTTTAGAAGTGCCGGGCTTTTGAGGATGATCTTCTCTACCTTGTCTCCCATGGTGAACAGAGGTTCTCTACTGCCAAAATATCAGAACTTGGATAGTTTTTTTATATTGTGAATTTGGGAGGCTTCTTTAACAATTTTTTAATATAAAATATATATATTTTATAAAGAAAGGAAGTGGAGATGCATTATTTGCCAATTCCTTCCCTGCACATTCACATGTTGGAGACTGCACATCCACGGGAAGCTATCAACTTTGACTATAAATAAGAGCACTTTTAGCGGTAGGTTTTGCCCCGGGCAAGAGGGGGCCCAAGCCCCAGACAGAGGTTCCAGTGCGCAAATGTAGCCCGGGCAGGATAGAAAGAGAGTCAGACAGAGAGGAAGGAAACAAGAGAAAGATAGAAAGGGAGAGTGAAAGGAGAGGAAAACGAGAGCAGAAAGAAATTGAATTAAAAATTGAATGTTGCTTTTTGTGTCTACACTTTATTTAAAGTATTTATTTAAAACAACTATTTTTTAATGTTGCTTTTGTATCTACACTTTATTCAAAAATTGAATTAAAAATATTAAAAATATTTATGACTCTTTAAATTAAGGAGTATGGTTGGAGTTGAAATTTTATAGAGAGCTCGTAAAATAGCTTTTTAGTGTTTATAGCTAAATTTTAACTAAAAAATAGAGACTGTGACTGTGGATACTCTAAGATGCCGATGTGAGAGGGAATGACAACCGAAAGAAATGGGGTGATTGATATGCTATTAATAAGGAGTATTAATTACAATTATGGCAGTTAATGAAATGCTTGAAATAAATTATAAATAAAATATGAAGTTTGGTGGTAAAGATGTAAAAACATAGGAATACTATGACCTCTTATATCCTACTGGTCGTTTAAATTTGAAATTGGGTTTTACACATAGATTTATAGAATGATGGGTATATGTCTAGGAAATATAAAATGTAGGGATCTATATTAGACAAGCCCTAAAAATAACTGATATATGGCACTTGTGCATCATGCATCCATCTCATATATACTAAAAAAAGGAAAAAAAAACTAATAATTATTGATAAAAACAAGTATCTGCATTCTTGTAAAAGATTGAAAAATCCAACCCAAAGGTGAATTTACAAGGAACAGCTGGCTGAGAGAGAGAGAGAGAGAGAGAGTTGAGTTGATGGCATTGAGGAAAGAAAGAAACGAAGGAAAATGAGTACCTTTAGAAGTGCTGGGCTTTTGAGGATGGTCTTCTGTTATCCCATGCTGAATAGAGACAATTCTTAATTCTTAATGAGTGCTGCTAAATGAACCCTAAAATTAATTGAGTACACTCTATGGTTTAAGTATATCCTAATATTTTAATCAAAATATAAAATTAACTAAGTACACCTTATTTAACTACCAAAAATACCTTTGGTACACCCTAATCCTAAACTTTTATATACATTCGTATCATCTTTTCAGATTTTGGATTTGCATCAAAATCTTTAATTTTGATACGTCCAATGATATGCTGGTCTATTTGGTGGTGTTGCACTTTTATTTAAATCTTCTCTTTGATTGATATAGCCAGCTGTCTTCTAATGTCATCATTTGTTTCCTGCACTAACTTTGTATCTATCCTAGGTTTTCTTCCCTTTAATTTGTGTGGGTCTCTACTGGGACCAGGAAGTTGTTTCAACATCTTTTCTACAAATCTCTGATATTTCGATGGAGGTTGATAAGTGTTTGTCTGCATTTTTTCATCATGGCTTCGCCATTTCGTTCTCCACTTCTTTCTTTCGGTGGCCTTTTTTTATATTTAAAATTAGAGTCTATTTATTAAAATTATATTTGTTTCATAATTTAATACATATTTTTTTGGTAATTTAATATTATGGTACATTAGTAATTCAATAAATAATTTGGTAATTGGGTGTACTCAGTTAATTTTAGGGTTTGTTTAGCGGCACTTTTCTTAATTTCTTAATTCTCTATTGCCAAAAATATCAGAACCTGGATAATTTTTTTATATTGTGAATTTGGGAGGCTTCTTTAACAATATATATATATATATATATATATATATTAAACAAAAAAAAAAAAAAAAATTTACCAACAATAATATTTAATATTTGCATTTCTATGTGCCACTAAGAGCACTTCTACCCATTTGTCATGGCAAAGAGCAAGGGTAAGGCAATGGCTGTTACTATTCATGTGGATAGTGGCAGCCCTTGCAAAAGGCTTGTGGTGTTTCCACCTATTGCCATGGCAACCACTATTCACATGAGATATGAGGAGAGAAATTTGTATAGAGTTTTGTTATGTGAAGTGAAAACTACAACTAAGTATTTATTTTTAAAAAAATCTGATTTTTTTGGTATTTTTTGTAGATTTTTTTCAATTTTTTTTGTTGCTGGCGTCATCAATGATGTCAGCAAACTAGGGTTGGAACTAAGGCAGATCTTGCCTGAGGGCTAGCCTGGGTTCGTGGGCCCCATCTCCTGCCAGGGCTAGCCCTTGCTGCTGGAAACAACATTTTGGCTCAAACCCCCCCAGCCCTCCCCTTAGGCGCATCGCTGGAGTTGCTCTAAGCAGGACTGAAAGGATAAGGGGCGTGGCCGACTTTTATGTAGACTTGGCCTGACTTTGTTTTTGACAGGTGTGGCTGGTGGGAATTGACACAAATTAACATACGTGGAATTACTTAATTTGTCGAACTGAGTTAGAGTAAAACTAGTTCATTAACTTTGTTTTTTTCTTCTTATATAGTACAAGAGACACTCTAAATCAGTCCAATTAAATTTATGTCAGGAGTTTCAAATTTGAATGCATTAAATCAATCCAATCCAATTTATGCAGGGACCTCAAACTTGAGTGTAAAATGACGAATTCACTGTTATTATCAACTCGCGTAACTCACTTCTACCTTCTTTTTTATTTTATTTTTAATCCTTATAATGCATTAAACTAGTTCATTGTATGTTTGGTTTGGACAAGGATTTTGTACATTTCAGTTCTGGAACTTTAGTGTTAGTGGTACACCTAAACACTCACTAAGATTATCCCAGAAAATGTCTAGGTACTCTTTGTCCGATAATGAAAATGAAAAATGTCACCAAAAAAATCCCTAATATGAAAGAAGTTCCCACCTGCATATGATACGTGGCATAAAAGAATTTGAACATAAAAAAGCTGATAAAGCAATTTGGTGACAAATAATGTAGTATGTACCCCTATAAATGTATACCACACATGAATTTGGTTGCTTTTATTCTCAGCCTCTGGTTCCTCTGTTGTCTCTGTTTCTCATTGCTGCAGGTAACGTTTGTAAAATGTCAGGCCTAAGAGCTCCATCTAATTATGCTGAGGAACCACCTCGTCATCCAAGTCTCATTGTAAATTCCCAGGTTGGGTTTTCGTCATATATTCTTAAATCATAATTATCCAATTTTATTTTCCTTTTTTGGGTAAATTCTGTTACCTTTCAAAGAGATGGACAAGCGGTTCACTTCCGTTTTTGTTCTTAAAATTGTAGCTGTTTTCGTTTTCATGCTTGGTAGCTTGAAATGAATGTGTATGGTTGCACTGTGTTTGTGTGAAACAGGAACCTTTCAACGCAGAACCACCACGTTCAGCCTTAATCGCATCCTATGTGACGCCAGTAGATTTGTTCTACAAGCGAAACCATGGCCCAATCCCTGTCCTTGATGACATTGAAAGGTTAACAGCAGTTTGCCATTTTTTTCTTCATCTTTTTGTAGCTATTCTATAAATGCCAAATTGTTAGCATATGTTGAGGTAGGTGTTAAGGTTTTAGCTGACGGAGTAGATGAATTTAAGGTTAGAAAGAGTTGTGTCTGTTGGGAAAACTTGGGAACTATGTTGAAATTTAATCTCTTGCTATTATTGCATCCATAAATGAAAAATTCAGAGGAAAGTTTACGAATTCTAAGCAATGTTTTATTCTTTTTCCAATTTCATCATTTTGCAATTACTTCGTCCAAATCCAAGGTTATAACATTTTACTTCTTTGTTTGAGCAGATATCGAGTTTCTATATGCGGTTTGGTGGAAAAGCCCTTGGAACTATCAATGGCTGATATTAGGTAACTACTGTAATGTCTTTTGTAGTTGGTTCATCTTAATCAATTAAGAGAGTAAAACTTTTTGGTTACTTGAAACAGGAAGCTACCAAAGCACATTGTGACAGCCACTTTACAAGTAAGTTGGTTAACTGTCATGCTATCAACGTTTGGCTTTACTGAGTTGGTTAGAAAAGGCATTGCCACCTCCTCAGATTAATGCTTTAATGTGGGGAAGACTGTATATTTTCGTTACAGCTCCATAGTAATTTGATTCGGTTCGTTTCGAGCTAACCAGTGTGCAGGTAATAGAAGGACTGCAATGAGCAAAGTAAAAGCAGTGAAAGGTGTTGGCTGGGATGTTTCTGCCATTGGAAATGGTTAATTTGCTACTATGCTTATTAATTTCCGTCACAGATAAATTGCACATAGAAAAGTAAAATCATTTTTGTCTTATGTCTCCTTTCAGCCATTTGGGGTGGGGCTAAACTTGCTGATGTTCTTGAACTTGTGGGGATCTCTAAGTTAACATCAGTGTCCCCATTAGGAGGAAAGCATGTTGAGTTCGTAAGTGTTGACAGGTGCAAGGTGAGCTTCAGTTTTGTACTACACGTTCTTCTCTTTACTTGGGAATGTTTTATATTGTATGATGACTGTGTTTTAGGAGGAAAAAGGAGGACCGTACAAGGGATCAATTCCATTAATTCAGGCAACAAACTCAGATGCTGAGGTTTTACTTGCATATGAGATGAATGGCGAGGTAAATAAACAGCTGGTGTAGTTTTCAGATCAGATTTCTTCTAATTGCTTCTTATAGTTGTGAGGTGAAAGTATGTGTCCACGTTCGCTGACCTATTTTACTATGCCAAAGCCTCTAAACAGGGATCACGGGTATCCGCTGCGCGTAATTGTTCCTGGTGTTATAGGTGCTCGTTCTGTTAAATGGCTGAGTTCCATCAATATTATTGAAAATGAGTGTCAGGTTGGTTTTTACTGATCTTACTAATCGTGTCGCATTATCTGTTCTTGTATTATATGACTCTTACAATGGATAGAATAATTGAGTTATTATAGTGGAACAGGGATTCTTTATGCAAAGGGACTACAAAATGTTTCCTCCTACTGTGAACTGGGAAAATATTGATTGGTCAACCCGGAGGCCTCAAATGGATTTTCCTGTTCAGGTATTTCTATCGATAATCAATAGCTTTGAGCTCTTTGCGCATAGTTCTTGTTTATTTAGATATATCTGTACCTTCACTGACATGATTTTCAATGAACTCATGGACATTGTCTTTGATGGATTTTGCAGTCTGTTATTTGTTCTTTGGAGGAAGAAAATACAGTGAAGCCTGGAAAGGTATGTCATCTGTTTAAGCACAGTTTTCATTAAGCACAATGGGAATAGGGCCAACTTTGCAAGTAGTCATGAGTTGCAAACTCCAATTTGAAAGTCATTATGTTGTGTCACACAGCATTGCACTATTGACTTACATTACTAGTCACCAACACAACATTTGGTCAACTTTGAAAAGCTTCTCCACCTCCTTACATCATCATCAATTTCTTTGCAGATAGTAGTTCATGGATATGCAGCGTCTGGAGGTGGGCGGGGGATCGAAAGAGTTGATGTATCTTTTGATGGTGGCAAGACATGGGTGGAAGCAATCAGATACCAAAAGAGTGGAATTCCATATGTTGCAGATGATACAAGTAGTGACAAGTGGGCATGGGTGCTGTTTAAGGCTGAGGCAGATGTCTCTCACACTACTGAAATTGTCGCTAAAGCAGTGAGTAATCGTCACTATGTTGTCACTTAATGGTTATAAATCTTAAACATTGAAATCTTGTTGAACAGGTTGATATATCTGCGAACGTCCAACCCGAAAATGTGGAGGTCATCTGGAACCTGAGAGGAATTCTCAACACTTCCTGGCACAGGGTCCATATTCACGTCCAACACCCTGATTTGTGATTCCATATGCGCATCACACATTCTTTGAGGGTTGTTTGGTGTCATCTAACCAAGCCAAGGCAACCACTTCCACTGTGTGTGCAATTGAAGCACCAGGAAAGCCTACCACAAACAGGGGCAACTTAAAGTCCGCCTCGCTTCTTCGTTACTGTGTTTGTGCATAGTGATGCAATAATTCTGTGCAAGGATATGTAAGATTCAGACTGATGTATCAATCAGAGTGTTGTCTAGAATAAGCAATTCGAGTTTGTATAGAAAATTTTCAATCTGCCACCATATGCTGCTGGCTACAACTATGCATAAACATCAATTTTAATAACCTAATTAGCAGCCACATTCTTGGGAAGGGGCCATAAATTGGATTAGCCTTAGTGGCTATACAAGCTTAAATTCTTTTACATGGGCAACCTCAAAATATCCCACAATGTAATTACAATGAAAACGAAAAACCACCAAATTCCAATGTGAAAGGCCGTATGGTATTGCATTATTAAGAACTCAGGAATTGTGAGACAAATGGGTAACCGGATCATCATCACGAGAAATTACCCCTTACAGTATGTCATTTGATACGACACTGAACAAGGGGGAACTATGCTCAATTGACACTAAAGTGTGAGAGTCAAAGAATAGACAAGCCGTAAGCTGCAAAAAGCACTATTGAACCTCTAAAACATTACCCTGCAAAATCTGGGTGTTGTGATACCTATGGTATTTCTTTACTATTTTAAGGGTTGTCACTATGATGGGAAAAAAAAGATCATGAATATACAACAAATGTATGCTCCTGAAATCACTTTCTTCTCCGCCACCAGTCTGGGATTTTCAACCTCCGGTTTCTATGTAGAGCAAGTTTGACTGCAGGAAGCTTGTGCTTCACCTGTCTCCACAGCATATTGACTGCATCCTCTTTCTCTGGGGGGTAATGAAATTCAAAATGGTGGGAAATAGCATTAAGTTGCCTCCACATTTCAACCCATCTGTCCTTTGGAAATTTCCGGAGCTGATCAACCATGTAACCAGGTTCCAAAGCCTCTTTGAATGAGAAGAATAGTGAGAATTTGGTGTAGTCAATTTCATCCTCAAATGGGAGCTCAATTTCATCACTCACAATGACAGGAACGCAGTGGCTCACAATAGCATCAAATAGGCGACAAGACGAAGGAGTGTCTCCAGCAGGATGCAGACAGAACTTTGATGAACGCATCCGTTGCGAAGACTGGTATAACAGAAGGAAAAAAAATAATGAGATACACAAAAAGTTATACTTAATAATATATGATTTATTACTCAAACTTGAGATGGCTGACTACAAAAACCTCCTATGCAAGGGGAAAATTATCCTTCTGAAGGAAAATCCAGATGACAGAAAATGAATGTAGGTTTCCATGGGCCCTCTTCAATTGAGAGTGAAACATACCAACTAAGAGCATATATTAGAAATCTATCTGCTTGGTGTCCCCTCGAATGATTAGTCTCCCCGAAATTTTTTCTTTAATATAATGAAAGTAAGAAACTGTGGGTTGCCACATTGTATGTAATGTAATTTGAGTTTCTCATGAAAAAGATGCATGCATATATTTAGATAGAAATTACAAGTAGAGAAAATTAGAAGTGGCACTCATGGATGATTCTGAGACACCATAAAAGTTTTGAGAAGATGGCTAACGATCATTAAGAAATTAAAATGACACTGAGGATGACTATAATCATTTCCAGTGACTAATGTGTAAAATCCATACTTTCCAGGACCAAGATATGCACAAAACAATATAATTTATGGACCACTATAAGACTCCATACATACCGCTTTTATGTTATCTCCTGTTGCAACACTTCGCTCATAGTGAACATCATCATAACCAGCTAAAATTTTTGCCAGTTTAACACGGACGATGCCTTCCTGCATATAACAAGACCAAAGATAATCAATTATAGCTCAGAGTAGAAGGTTTTAAGACAGGATGCATCTTTTATTTCAAACAACTCTTAAACTAACATACATCTTTCCTGAATGTCCTGCCCTGGAAGAAAAGAAGTGTAGTGCGGGACTCATATGGATTTGAATGATTATCATCTGTAAAGGAATCCACGACATGCACATATGGGGAGACCACATCTTTGCTCAGATTTGACATGACATGAGGGTACCGGCCAAAATCTACAACAATCTGAATTGATGCATTGATCTGTGGTCTAAGAAATCTGAAAGCATTGGGATGTGTCAAAGGGATAACATGGTCTCTGCCTCTGGATCTTTGCCAATACTTGGATTCCCCCAAGATTTTCAATACATCTATCTGAAATCAGAAGAAACTCAAAGTTTAGTCATAACAAAAATATGAAAGTCCACCAGAAAAAAGGACATTTGGAAACAATACTACGACCTGGACGACAGTGATTTTGAAAATTGGAAAATATTGGAGGCATGACTCATAACTTGGAAAGCTGATTGACAAAAACCAAGTAAAGATAAAAACAGTTGATGGTAAAACAAGTATCAATCTACGGAAAGGCTCAAGAATGAACAAAGCAGCACTGCAATTAGTGAAACCATCATCCAATGCAATTCCTCTCTAAATACCACCTAACTTTGCAAAAACCGTTCTACATTTTCTTGTGTAAGTGTCACAAATCAAACTGAATGACAGCAAAGGTGTTTGAGTTTCAATTAACATACAAGTCCCAAGCCTCGAATTCAATATGCCAGCCACAGAAGAAATCCCAGTTTTTTTAATATCTCATCTGTATTCAGAAAACCACATAATTCTTAGTTTGCAGCAGAAGACTCTGTTTAATTTCCTATAAAGATAAAACACAGAATCGAAACTGTCATTTCCAAATATGTATACAGAAGGGAAAATGAGACAAGCAAGCTCAATCGAAGGCATCCAATTCACTGTTTTCGACGACCCAATTCGACACAAAATTATCAAAGTTCTCCATAACAAGCGACCAATATTCACAGATAAAGAACGCCAGCAATCGAAACCTAATTAATTACCTGCAATTGGTGATCAATCTCAGTAGCCGGGTCGGTCATGTGGTGCCCGTGAGTATTGAAACTCAAGGAAGAGAAAAACGGCACGAAGAACGCATCGGCCAATTCCGGATCAGAAACCCTAACGGCCGCTCTCCCATCACCGCCATCGCCGTCGAACAGAAGCGAGCCCATCATCCAGTACTCAACACTGTGCTGCCTTTTGAGCCCAGAGTTCCTGGGCCACGTGGGCCATGTCCGGGCCGTGACCGGAGCCTGCTCCGTGCTCTTCCGGTTCAGCATGCCGACGTTGAACCGGCGCGGGAGATCGTACATGTAGACTTTAAGAGGCGGGCCGGTTGCACAGAGGGGCTGTGCACCTGGGGGTGGCGATGGCAGAAGCGGGAGGAAGTAGGATCGTATATCGACAGTGCCGATGAAGATTGAGTAGGTGATGAGGACTATGAGGATAGCGAAGACGAGAGCGAATGCTGCTTTTCCGTACATTTTCTGAGATCTGTTTGACATTACTGACCGGCCATTTGCTGCCGAGTGTAGAGTGAGGGAGACTAAAACTCAACTATCCGTTTGATTTGGTTAAGGAGGCAAAAAAACAAATGGGAGAAAAAAAAAAAGCTTTGGGCCTTGCTTCAAGGATTGGTCATCCACAAAAGCCTTCTCCTCTTTAGTTCTTTATTTTTATTTGTTAATTTATAAATCATTTTTATCTTCATCTTTGGTGGAACAAAAATAAATAATGGTAAAGTGTACTTAATTTGTGATCAACACTCGACCAATCAACTTTAGCTTAAAAATAATAATGCGCATCACACATCAATTGTATTGTTGTGACAGTTTCCATAAATAAAAGTAATGAGCACCAAAATGAGTCTAATGTGTTTGATATTCCATGACATCATGATAAAGATCAAAATGAAAACAACTTGACATGCTTTTAATAATAAAAGAAGTGAGAAAATAAATGTGTACATCAACATGCTTCAAACACACATGGTGCATCCACTAGTAACCATCACCTCTAACTTTGTTTTGTAGATTTGACATAGTTTGGAAAAAAGGAAAGCAAATAATGCATATGTTCCAAACAAGATATGAAATCATTTATATCATGAGAATGAACAATTGATCGTTAGTAGTTACACACATAAAAAGAAAGGTATATATAGACATAGTGGCATCGGTCCCCTCAACTTTCAAGATCAAACCTAATATGTGGATAACACATGTTGGGTGACGAGGGAGCATGTATGGCCGTTGCTCTAATACTATGAAGAAAGTTAAAGTTCCATCTCAAAACCAATCAACAATGCCCAACCCCTTATAAATTCAAACTACAACCACATATTGAGAATAAAATTATTTCTAATAAAAACGCTTATAACTAGAAAATTTCCCTATTAAAACATTCTCAAATTAGCCTAATAATATGACACAATTGAAATAAGCCCAAAACGTCCCAAAACCCATTCCTAGTCTAACGCAGCTCGTATTAAAAGGCCAATCACTTTGACCGACCGAGCAGCCCAATTTACCAAATTTACATCACATGCTTTGTAGTATCCGCTCGCACGCTAAGGAGCCAAAGACACAACGAATCACAACGATCACAAACGTCCCGTAGCGGGAGGTGGTTTGGAAATTTCTTACGCATTTCTCCACTCACACCGACCCTCACTCTCTTTCCCACAAAACAAAAACCACAGCATCTTCTTCACCACATTCGCAAACCGACCTTTATTGGCCTCGTTCCTTGTCTTTAGGTTTTGAGAGGGATCGAGAAAATGGCGTTGAGGTTCAGCTCCGATGACGTCTCCGGGTTCAAGTTCTTGCTCATTCTGGCGGTGACGTACGGCCTCATTGCGATGCTGGTCGACTCTATTATCCACATGCGCTTCATTAAGCCGCTCGAGATCGACGCTCCTCTCGATCGCTTCTCGGAAGCTAGAGCCGTCGAGCATGTTCGAGTCTTGGCCCAAGAAATCGATGGCCGCCAAGTGAGCTCGCTCGCTCTTCAATAGCCTCACAATTTTTTTTCTTTCTTCTTTTTGTTTTTGGAGTCCAAATTAAAAACCTTTATTTAGGATTTTTCTGTGTTTGATTTGAATTCGCTAGTGTAATTTCTACTGGAGAGATTGGTTACTATTTTTGTTTCCGGGTCGAGTTACTTATTAGCAATTTTGTACGGTTTTTTGATAGGAAGGGCGCCCTGGTTTAAGAGAAGCCGCTCAGTATATTACAGCTCAATTGGAAATGATAAGGGAGCGAGCTGGGTCCA